ACACGCAAACCATGTATGAGTGCTACTGAAACTGTGTCATGTTGCCAGCCGTGCTCCAGTCGTCAGGTGAACTGCCACTCTGATGGTGAGGGCCTGAACTGCCCCCAACTGCACTGTTTAGGACCTCTCGCCCACTCAGCAGGAGCAGCTGGTTGCATTGCACATGCTGCTGGAGTGCAACATGAATTCCCTAGCTTTAGAGAAGTGCAATCAAGGTCCAAAATTGGCTGCAAGCATTGTGTAGAGAACCGTGGAGAGAAAACCTGCATCATATGGTAATAATTTATTTACGCAGAGTTTCTTCATCCTTGCTTTATTCAGTTATATCCAAAGCAGCTCGTGCTCACATCCTTTGTTGCTCGCTCAACACAATGTGGAAGAGCTGGAATTCAACAGCACCAAGTGCATTGATGGGAACAACACTTAGCGTGTCATTGGAAATCAGCTATTACAGACAGTTATAGCAGAAAGGAAGGCAAATGCTGCAGTATTGTGTCTTCCCTCCTTTCCTCTTTTTGACCTTTTGTTGGGTTTCGAAGTGACCGATTTCCACCAGCTTGTCCCTTTGAATTTTTTTATGCAATCGACAGAGAAGGCATGTTTACTGCAAAGTAATTAGATCAAGGTAAATGCACATTGCTGAGGGCTTCCCGTCTCAGGTTACGTGCTGTACTGGAAAACCCACAGCATGAGTGTACTGGTCTGAGCACTTCCTTGGTTAGGAAGGTGCTCGCATAAACTAAACGCCTTTTCAAAGTCTCACATTCTTGCTATTTCCAGTACTGCATGAGAGTTATGAGTGAAGGTAAAAGCAGTGGTGTGCCATACACTACTGCTTACCACACCACTGGGATTATATTGTTCTATGCAATTTCAGTAACATGCGGTTTAAAAATGTATATATTTGTAAGCATTAGCCCCTTTTGTGCGCTGCAGGCTCTGGTGGCACAAGCAGCTGCACATGCCCAGTGCTCATCTTCACTTGCCACACTCGTGCTGCACGTCATGGTGGTGCAGAATTTTCATCTACAATAAAAATGTCCCCTATGCACTTTTTTGCTTCTCTCGTGATTTCAGTATAGCATGGAAACAAGATTTGCAGAAGTACCTTGGTCATGCCCGACAAAATTGTCATACATGGAATAAACTTTTTGGGTCAGCAAATCTCGGTGCAATTGTTTATGTACCGACACTTGTACCGCAACTTCTCAGGTCAATGTGAATTTCGTATACAAGGAACCAGAAATTTCCCAATTAATGGTGGTACGGTCCCAAGTAGCACAACACGCCGGGTTGGGGATGGCGCGGTATTGGCCTGCCGGGATACTGATACCGGCCAGTACCGGAAACGCCCCAAGGGGCGACATCGTCCGGGCCCAATGCCGGAATCCGGCCGGTACCGGGAACTTGTTGGGAAACCGGGATGCCGGGAATACGGGATGTTCCCAGCGAGCTCCCGACACAGATCCCCGGCATGGAACCGGTGGTACGGTAGGAAACCATCAGTGTGCCAGCGTGTTTCTGGGTCAGAGCCAGTCCAATTGCGGATTAGTCCCAGCGTAAAAACATATCAGTGCCAGCGTAATTGCGGGTCAGTGCCTGCGAAATTCCGGATCAGCACCAGCGTATGCGTCATTCAGTGTACCCAGCATTGAACCAGCAGAATGCTAGCTGTGTCAGGCTTTAAAGCCCAGGAATGACATCCTACTGCATTGTTTAACAGCTAACTTCTCAGTAGATCACATTGACTTAAACGTGGAAATGCTAAATTTCTCAGTCCGAAGTATTTCATTGGTTTTCATATCTTTTATAGGTGCTGACCGTTTTTAGCATGTTTTTCGGACTTGAACTGATAAAAGCTGGTTTAGTATTTGTGCAATTTTAAGAAACTATTCTGTGTGAACAATTGACTTTCTCCATGTATACAGTGTACTCATGGCAATTATTGTATACTCGTTGAGACGACATGTCCCATTCATCTGTCGCCCAGATGCATATTGTGAGTAGTACAAGAAGGAAATATACAAATTTTTTTTTTACCGTGACGTTCTTTATTGTGACTCGTGCATCCATAGCAGCCAGCTCCTCAGCCAGAGTGTCCCTCATCGTCAAAGGCGGTTAAAACCACCAGTGGAGTGTCCGTCTTTTTAACTCTATTGCCCTTGCCCGCCTCCCTGCCCGTCAGCCACTTCTGCACCGCGTCCACGCTGCACGAGTGCGACTTTGTATGGCACCGGTAAAGAGAATTGTCAGATCACACGGATTAGTTGAGGGATAGGGGAAGCCAATATCTTGCATATTAGCTACACACAAGGTGCTGTTCACACACTGCAGTTTGTCAAATCAATCAAATCAAATTTGAGGGTTTTACGTGCCAAACCTAGGACGGGCATCTGGCACGCCCCAGCGGAGGACTGAGGATTAATTTGGACCACCTGGGGATCTTTTGACGTGCAACCGAAAGCTCGGTTACACGGCGCCATCTCCGCAATAAGCCTCCGTCACATTGCGGGCACCTCGGTCGGGATTCGAACCCGCCACCTGGGGATCCGTAGGCCGGCGCTCTCGCCTCGGAGCAACCGAGGCGGCTGACTGCAGTTTGTGAGGGTTTCCTTTGTGTAAATATAGGTCCCTCACCTAGCCTGTAATTCAAAGGTGACAGAAAGAGAGCACCACAGAGGTGGAGACTGTGGGTTTGGCTACCACGCTAAGGTGCAGATTCTATGGAAGCATGTGGCTATTTCATGCAACATCCTATTAATCTGAAATGGGGGGCGAGACGGGGCGGGGGGCGAGAAGGAGTGGGGCGCAGAGATGAGTGGTTAAAAAGAGAGCAAAACTTCCCCAACTGACACTCTACTGACCACGGCCTCTAAATGGTCGTCATTAGATTTTCAACCTGGAAACTAACAGGATAACAAGACAAGACCAACAAATACCTTTTTTCACAGTTCCTTCAAAACGCTGCTTTTCAGTATGGAGGTTCTGAGAATGCTAACACAGGAGATATTCATAATAGAGAATGCAAGTCGAATTAAAAAAAAAAATCGACAGGAACTGACGACTTAAATTTTGCATATTGCAAGACTTAACGGGAAACTGAAGCTGTTCTGTATTTGAGGAAGAACACCAAAATCGTCTTGATATGGCCTCCAGGATCACGATATTAATTTCTAAAGCAGAAATTAATTTCTAAAGTACAGCTGAAGCCCCTCCTTCCCGGGGAGTGACGCCATGCTGGGAGTTTTCGGAATTTCTGCTGTCGCTCATCTTCAGCTCCTGTCAAACCAATGCACGTGAACTCTTGAATGTGTAAAAAGGTCAGAAATAGACGCCACAACTGGCGTCAGTGTGGAAAAATACAACTGGCAAGCTTGCAATTGCACGCGCCGCCCACACGAGCGACACGTGCTTGGCGCCCCAAAGATCCTAGTACGACGTCACGGCTGCTCTGAGGTTTTTCGTGTTTTCTCGCGTCTAGTTACGCCTTCGGGGAAAACGAAAGTGATATTCAGGTTCACAGTACAAAAATACGCCAGAAGTCACCTATAACTCGTTTTTTTGTCAAGAAGTGTTTCAGTTTCCCTTTAATTGTCAACATATTTCAAAGATTGTGCTTGTCTATTGAGCTCCAATAGAGATACCATCAATTTAATAGCTAGTAATGAATATGCATTACCGATGACCACCTTACACATCATGGCGTCCTTGAACCTTGACTTTCCTTGGTAGCCCAGGAGGGAGAACTGCTCCTGGACTTGCTTTGAGAACAAGCGTCCCACCATCTCTCGCACCACCTTCTGCAGGTTCTTGCTGTCTCGTAGAGGCACGAGCTGCTCCTCATAGAAAGACAAAATGTGTTCTCAACGTGTCCATAAAGTTATTCACATGCAGATACAATGGTATGAACATGACTCAAGTAAGAGAATGTGAATGCCCAAGTAAATGCAGCAAGCCGCACTATACACGCACAAAATGTTACAATATTTACTGGAGAGAGAATAAAAAATATTTGAATATATGGAAACTCTACCTGTCTTAGGCGAAACCAGAAAGATTAAAATATTTCCCTTCATACTCTGCTAAACCCATTAGTCAGTCACATTCGTTGCATCGTCCAAAGTGTGCAAACGTTTTGATGGATCATCTTTGCTCATCAGCATCCACTCAGTAATTTTAATAATGTATGTGGTTCTCAAAACTGTGCATTCAAGACCCCGCGCATCTTGAATTTGTTAAAGCTTAGTCTGCCGGCTAGTCACCCTGCAAATTTATCTCCTATTTTACGACTTTACGAAGACTGGAATTGAAAAAGGCATAAAAAGGCAGGAATTGACCAAAACCGTCATCATGGTTGCAAAAAATGGCAACAGCAGCACAGTATAAGTAGTTACCTTTCCATATTTTTGTTTAGTGCTGACTCAGTGGTGGCCCTGCAGGCCAATGAACCAACTTACTCAGCTCAAGCCCGCCTCGTGTAATAATCGCTTGTGCGACTACCGTATCTCTACTGAAAAAACCCGTATAAAAATTCATACGGGTTGACCCGTAGAAATCATACGGTGTTATGGGATACGGGTCTCCCGTATGCTAATGGAACCCGTACCTGTATGGGTTCTGACACAGGAACCTGTATCTGTACGGGTTGACCCATTCAGATACAGGAACCTGTACCTGTACGGGTTGACCCGTTCAGATACAGGAACCTGTACCTGTACGGGTTGACCCGTTTAGATACAGGAACCCGTACCTGTACGGGCTGACCCGTTTAGGTATAGGAACCCGTACCTTACAGGTTGACCCATTTAGATATAGGAACCAATATTTATACAGAATCACCTGTTCAGATAGAGAAACCTATATCTTGATGGGTTTATCTGTTTGGATGCAGTAATGGGAATCAGCATGGTGTTAATGGTTTGCATATTGACGTATGGATCTATGCAGGTCTAACAATTCATATGCATTTGTCATGCAAAGAATGAGCTTGAGCCAGGTAATTTCAGGTTATATGTATATTCAAGGAAAGCGAAATAGACAATTGGACGAGTTGACAAGAGTTCATCATGGCTTACAGCGCGACTCGGACAAGGACAAACAGAGGAGATAATACAGGACAAGCACTGCAGTCGCGCTGCAAGTCATGATCAAAGCAAATTGGCATACTGCAGAAAATCAACAAGAAGCTTGACCTCTAAGCAAGCCTAGAAGTCAACCTTCTTGTTAATATCCTGCAGCAGCTCCCGCACATAGTGGTTCATCTGGGCTGCCCTCTTCCCCGGAGATGTCTCCCGAGGATGTCTCCGGATGTACTCGTTGAAGGCATCTGCAAAGGAAAAGAATACAACAATAAGTCATGTATTGCTCTCATGTATATCTATAGTTGTCTGAAAAATTAAATATTTTACTTCCTGCAATTATAATTGAAGCAATTTTCACTACAATTTATGCTTTGTTAATATGTTGTGATACCATGTAACCCACAAGAGCAACTTAAACGTGATTAGGCAGTCTGTTTAAAACAATACCGTATTTACACGAATGCAGGTCGACCTTTTGTTCAATTTTTGAAAATCTGAAGTGTGGGGGGGGGGGGGGGTCGACTTATAATCGAACCAAAGCATTCCACCGTTGGAAAAACGAGACAACTGCGATATCATGAATACCTCGGTTTGTTACGAGTTCAGCCGGCTGTAACTCTAACATTGCACTATTCTTCGTGCTCATTTTACAGATTATTTTTTATTCGCGTGAACCAGTATTATTGATAGCGATTCGGAAATTAACTAAAATATATGGCGGTAAACAGCGCACGGCGCGCCCGACTCCCGGGGGGTGGCGGCACTTCTTGTAAGAGCCACTCCGGAGGCCGCTGGAAGAACAGCCTCACCGGCTCACTCACCCCGCGGCTTTTCGCAGTTTTTCGTGCGATTCACGGTAGCACATCGTTTGATCGAGTGACGAGATCAGGCTAGAGCGCTAACTAGGTTTCTTTTTGTATTGACACGGGTGATCCGGGCAGTTTAGGTTTTTAGTGCTCGTTCACTCAGAAGCAACCAACAACTGCGCTGTTCGACGCATGTTCGACCCGTAGGAGCGGGTGATGCTCCAGTGGAGTCAGCAGTGGCGAGGGCTCTTAAACTGTGACGGCAAACAAAGAGGCTTCCGTAGGCCAAAGTCTGGTTCCGGAGTTGGAAGTCAGGCTTGCAACGTACGCTGCATAAGTGTGCAATCTGACCCTACCCGTGACGTCCAACGCGATCACCGAGCAAGCGCAGAAGATGAGGTTGATCCTGTCATTTGCGAAGTGCGAAATTTTTTTGGACGCCGCCACCGATGTGCTTCGACAAAGTGGCAGTGATGATGACGGGACTGATATCCTCAGTGCGGACGTGTCGTAGTCTAGTCGTGGACGGAGTGCGAACGACAGGGAGCAGCTTAAGTTGTCCCGCCTCCAGCGTGAACTTCCCAGTTTCGATAATCGCCACCGGTCTGCAAACGGCACGGCGCCGTTTCGCACGGGAGACAAGAGATGGCGCAAGCGGTCGTGACGCCAACTGACGCGAACGAACGAGCAGACGACGCCGAGAGCCGGCGTATATAGCAGACAAGGAACTGCAGTTCCTCGTTGTTACCGAGCCTGTTTTTGTTTCTGCGACTGTCGCCGCCTGCGGAACGCGCGTCGCTTTTGAGTCGAAAAGATAGTCTGCTAAAGATGCTGGCTCTCAGCGCCAATTTGCTTCTTCGTTGGCGGCGTTCGTTGCGCGATCTCTTGTGTCCCGTGCGAAACGGCGAAGTGTTGTCTGAAGACCAGTGACTTAGCTATGTTTCCGTAGGAGCTAAGCCTTTTTCTTTCTTTACTTTTTCCTCAGGTAAGCTCGCTCTTTGCAAATTTTACAAAAAAAGAATGCACCATCTGTGGGCAACGCTGCACAAAGTCGTAGCGCGATAGGTTAAGAAACCGAATTTTTCGGTCGATTTAAAGAGCCTGCCGTCTCCTTGTTTCACCCTGTAGATCGGCCGGTTCAGGCTAATCGAACAGACCTAGTGTGACCTTCCACAACTATGCACTTGAACTTTGCTTGCAACAGTGTGTTCCTTGCATTTCAGTGCTTGTAAAAATTATAGACCCTGGAGCGGGGGGGACAAAAAGGAAAAGAAACACACAAAGCTCCAGAGCTTCGGGTCTGTCTGTCCCTTTTTGTCACCACGTTCCCGGGTTACCACGTATATCCTTAACCAGCTTGCCTGCCTGTTAATTAAAATAAAAGTATGTTCTATAAAACCAATTATCTATTTTCAGTAATGAACATGGGCCTCCGATTGCCTAGAACCTCGAATATATTTCATGCCCCACAATGTCAACATGGAAACGAGTGAAAGCAACACTGAACACACAATGCTTGGCCAACATTTTTTGTGCAAAAGAAAGATTGAGGCGCAATTGCTCTTTATGGGCATGTATATATATATTTCCAGCACAGATTTCACATCAAGAATCATTTAACTAATTTAATATCCGTGTCATGACCCTTCAATGGTCCAGTCATACGAGATACTTCTCTGGTAAGAAAACTGAGCCTGTAATAGACTAGAAAGGATGAACACCCACGACGAGAAGGCGGTTCAGAAAATATGGGCAGTACAAAAAAGGACAGAGCCAGACATAGTTGGGTTGCAGCAGTTCTAGTGATCAAACAGACTGACTTTCACAACTTTGCTAGTGGCCTGTTCGTTACAAAAGAGAGAATAGGTGCCTCCCAGTACAGTTTTTCTAAAAAGATACGAGGGGCTCACTGTTACTCCACGAGCCAGCAGGAAGTCCTGCGAGCGGGCCTCTGATATCAGGGACCCCCTCCAAAACTTGTGGGGATTAGCAGATATTTTCAACGCAGAGCATGTTACTATAAAACCTCCACAGTGTGAATACATCAAACCACCAATCAACCTAGATGACCGTGACAGGATCACTATTTTTCTTCCTAAGGCTAGAGCTAGTCGAACTATGACCCTTCAACAGCCTATAACACTGAAACATCTGAAAGCCTTGGAATATTTTATCCCATTAATTTTGTCTTATTAGCCATCAGGCTCGATTGTCTCAAGTATGAGACACCTGTGAAAAGTGGGCACTTACTCCGGACTGCTCCCAACTTGGCCGGTGTCAGCGCCCTCTTGGCCACGGCGCCCTTAAAGCGCCGGCATGGCACCCCAGTCGTACTTCGGCCATTCAGGTTTTCCCGGCCGAAGACCAGCTTGGTCGCCTCCTTGATGAACATGGAGTCCCCCCGGGCTCCCATGATGTATGAAAGCTTCTCCTTTTCCACTTGAACACCATGGCCAAGGTGAACCTAGAAATAGATGTATGTATAGGTTAAATAGCATTTACCACAAAAATCTGGTGCTATGATGGCCCTTTGAATGGAGGGACTGGATAAATCGGTTTCCTAACAGATTGATCACAATGAATTTTATCATTTTTTTCCTATAAACCAACACGCGGCTCCGATGTCACGCCACTGCGGTGGCGCTGTTGTCGCCACGGCGCATGTGCAAAAGCTTCACCTCACGCAGATCTGGTTTCTCCGCACGCGCAGTGCCCACACCTGGTGTGGGCAAATGCAGGCTTGTTTGTAAAGAGCCTGTGGGTCTATAGTGTGGATGCAAACACCTCACGACATAGACCAGAGGTCTCCAAACCGATACGGCCCGCGGAAGTCTTCCGACCGGCCCTCGGCTGGCTGCGGTTTTCTAACTAAAGCCGGGCTTGCAACTCGCTTCCAGCAAACCCGCCGCTAGCGGCACAGAAACAAGTGCGCGCAAAGAAATGATGGTGCGACACACTGTAAATACAAAAACTAGGATACCAGAAAGAACGAAAGAAACTGCATTGCAACAAGGGTCCTCTCACCATATGATAATTTAACATTGTCACCACTAGCATTGCCGTTTTTAGCCCCTGCTTCATGTCTGTGCAACTATGTTAAAATACCATTGCATTCTCAAAGATATCATACTTAGCTTCCTCTGCCACAACTATTGCATACTCTCAGCATTAGTTTTATCATTCTCTTTAATCTCTTGCCCTGCGTGAATCTGCCAAAGTTCCCGTGCACTTTGATTTATGCCAGGCAAGTTTTCATGGTCACAACTGTTGTGTACTGTCATAATTAGCTAAATATTAAATGGTAATTTGATGTATACATACTCATCAACCTTAGGGTTTTTCAACAAATTCTGTGTTTAAATATTTATCTAGGTTTATTTATCTGAATTTTCTTCTATTGTAATCAATATATTTTTCTGGCCCTCGGTACTGCGACAGATTGCTCATCCGGCCCCTTAACCGAAAAGGTTGGAGACTCCTGATGTAAGCAAAGGGGATAAAATGTCAGACAATTCAGTTTCAACCATAGGAAGAAAAAGAAAAAGGACGGACAAACAACCATCTGGGGGGTGTGCGATTGTCAGTCTTTTTCAATTCTCCTCCTCAAGTTTGATTCTTGTTATCAACACGCTCGTCCTGTCCAATAGCCCTTTTGTGAAATCCCCCAAGCGCCTCGGCCGGCGCTCGAGGAATTGTGGGAGACACTGTCCCTCGTTTGGCCGCTCTGCCTTGAGATCGCATTGCCTTGTTGCCTGCCTCCTCTTAATCCTCCGTTTTTCGATTCCATTTCCATTTTTTATCTATTCTAGTGTATTTTTTATTGCTTCTAAGTGTTTCTATTCTCTTCTGTGCACGATATTTCTTGTATATATATATTATTTGCATCTTTATTTTGTTTTTTTTTTGACGGGAGTAACGACGGACAATGCGCCGCTTCGCGCATTGTTCCCCGGGTGAGTACTACCATTGCTAACGATTCCTATCGCTCTGTTAGCTCCTCGTTTTGGTTTATTTGACCCGCGTGCAGTCGAGAGGAGCCGTTTATGAACACCCGTGCACATGTCATAGGGGTAGGCAGAGCTCTGAAACAACAATCGCGACGCGAGAGCCGAATGCGCTGTGATTTGGCCGCCCGCACTCACTCCGACGACTCGCACTGCAGCGTATGCCTTCGAGTGCCGCTTACTTGACCATTATACAGCACGCAGCCTTTTTGCTGCGAACCATTTGTCCGAATGTTTGCGAAGCTGAGGCAAATGCAATGCTAAGGTGCCAGACAATTGCACGCTGCGGCGCGAGCCCTTCGCAAGCGCGGGTGGCCCATCGTCGCTGCTTGTATGCGCTTAAGCGCTGCTCACACATATGCAACCGAGTAAGACCGAGAGAGACCAGACCAGTTTTTAAGCCTCTTGCGACGTCTTAGGACCAGCTCTGCTGCAGCACTTCCGGTCCCTATAGGTCGCAAGAGGCTTCAAACTGGTCTCGTCTCTTTCGGTCTTACTCGGTTGCATATGTGTGAACAGCGCTATCTGCTAAGTGGTTGTCAGTTGCAAACACCCTTTTCCAAGTGCTGAAAACTGCACGCCGCTGCGTGCAGTTGTCAGGCGTCTCAGTGTTGGATATTCCAAATGGTGTTACGGTTTCGCAAACATTCAGACATATGATTCGCGGTGACAAAGCAGCATGCTGTATCTTGGTCAAGTAAGCAGCACTCGAAGGCATACACTACGGTGCGAGCCAATGGAGCGAGTGCGGGCGGCCAAATCACAGCACACTCGGCTCTCGCGTCGCGATTGTTGATTCAGAGCTCTGCCTATCTCTATGACATGTGTTCATAAATGGTTCCTTTCAACTGCACGCGGGTCAAATTGAACCAAAATGAACAGCTAACAGCACGATCGGAATCGGTAGCAACGGTAATACTCACCTGGGGAACGACGCGCGAAGCGGCGCATTGTCAGTCGTCCCTCTCGTCAAAAAAAGGAAAAATAAAGACACAAATACTATACATATACAAGAAATATTGCGTGCAGAAGGGAATAGAAACACTTAGAAGCAATAAAAAATACACTTGAACAGATAAAAATAGGTAATGAGATAGAAAAACAGAGGATTAAGAGAAGGCAAGCGACAAGGCAATGCGATCTCAAGGCAGAGCGGCCAAACCAGGGACAGTCTCTCCCAGAATAGACCAATCTCACCAAGTGTTCCACGCATGCGTGACGCCACCATAACTGTAGTCCGTAAGGAGGCAGATGCCAGTTCACGAGACAGCTCATGCCGCCTCGTGCTCTGCTCGCGCAGACCTCCAGCAGGGTTGTGGCGCGTGCAGAAAGACTACAGCTCCCACGATGCATGTCGGCAGTGGTGGCGTACTCAAACTAGGTGTGAAATCGGTCTGTTCCCCGCGTGCGGGCCGGGGTGCTTGGGAAAATAGCAAATCATCTATTGCATTTCCTTTGCATCCCATGCAATTTTCAGTCACAATAGATGCCACTATGCTACTTTATGGCTTTACTAAAAATAAGCTTAGATGAATGTTCATCCATAAGAAAAAGCTTTTTTTTTTGGGGGGGGGGGCAAGATAGATTTTACGATATTTTATTGCCATATCAAAGTTTACCCCAGTTAAAAAATACAAGCCCTAACGGGAACTCATAGATTCATGCGTGCGTTTTTTTTTGTTTTTTTTTTTCATAAGGTGCACTCATATGGGTAGCATGTGCAAATACAAGCTTGCCAGGTATATTCCTCTGCATGTGAGACCAGTTGTGAAATCTTTTTCTGACCATCATGAAAATATAAAGAGTGTGTGTGCATAGCTTTGATGGGTGCAAAGGGGTGCGAGAGTGGGGATTCTGAGAACTCTGGGTACGACGTCGCACTCCGCAAAAAAGGGGCTTCAACGCTATGTTGAAAACAATTTCCTAGGAACTCCGTGCTGCGCACCAAATTAAAAAAAAAAATTGATATCTATTATTCTGGAGGCCAAATGCAGATAGATGATTTGTGTGTTTCTTTCGTCAGATACAGAACCACTTTACCCTCCTTTTAAGTGAGTTCAGAGTAAAGAGAGCAAGCGAAAAGAGGAAAGAAGTCATAAAAACAAGCCAGTGCTATTACAGGCCCAGATAGCTCATTGAAGAACTCACTGAGATACAGATGCTCCACGGTACAAGCTTGGCTTTTAAAGCACAGGGCACCATGTTTCCGCTAATGTTTATGTGTGATTACTCTGCCACAACGCGGTTCTGAAGTGAAGCTTGGGAGTTTCGATACTCAGGGAACGTAGAGTGATGCTAGCTCACTCTGACCACCTCCCTTTAGGGTGAAACAAAACACAGATGCACTTTCTTGCCGCCGACATCGTCAGTGAAGAGGCCACTTCCGGAAACACAATGAAAACACGACGCTCAACCACACCTGTAAATAACCAAATGGCGACATGGCCGCCAGATGCATTTTTGGATACATACGGCTTAAGGCTTGGATTGGGTTCTGCAACTTTCCCATGTGTTACTAAATCTAGGAGCTCTCTAACTGGATCTAGCCTACTGTCGCACTCTCAATCCAATCCAAGGCTTGGACTGGATTTGTCGGTTGTTCTTTGCATCGGGCAGCACACTATACATTGGGTGAGCAGAGCGGACGCACCGATCTATGCAGAATTTATAGCCTATGTTTCTGTCCCCAAAACCTCAAGTCTTTGCTCAGGACACTCTACGGCATTTTCGGCTCATTTTCCCTGACTGGGCTCGCTTTTTGACAGTATCTCTTACAATTACCTGATTTTTCCCAGCAATTAAAATTTCCCTGACAATTCCCGGTCACTAGACAGCCTGTGAAAATATAATGAGGACACCAGATAGAAAATGTCACAGAAAAGCACCAATTAATTGGCAAGAAATAACTTATCGATGACTGGCCCTACTTTTTACGTTCATCAGCATTTTGAAGCAGGACGATTGTTCAATTTAAGGAAGCATACAAATAACCATATTCAAGGAGCTGTGGAAACCATAAAATTCAATCACTTGCCCAATATCTGGAATGAATATTCCATGAAATTCTGAACTTACCTCGCCATTGACCTCTCCAAGCACTGCTACACACTGGGGAGGTGCCTCCGGTGGGCCTGCCACATGGTCCGCTGCTGGAGCAGCAACATCAGCGGCCGGCATGGGTGGAGCATGAGCCACACCAGCTCGCATGTGAACTGGAGCAGGAGCACCGGCAGCAGGAACTGCTGCTCGGCAAGCAGGAGGAGCTGGCCCAACACCGCCAGGAGGGGCATTCTCCCCTACAACATAAGAAAACGCTGTTTAGAAAAAAGACCAGCTCTCCTGCAAGCAATAGCTCTGCAAATGGGCTAAACACGGTACAGTAGCCGACCGATTTTTCGGATGCCGAAAATTCAGACGTGCTTGATTATTCGGACTTCAACACTTTCCTGGTCAGTTGATTGCATGAGGGCTTCATTTTTCCCGGAACAGACCGGGACTGGAAAAGATGTTTCTTCGAAAAAATAATTATTCCAATACGTCTATAAGAACCTGCAAGCAGGATACAAAACAAATAATAAAAAAAAAGAAAGAAAGAAGAGAAAAACCGAAATGCGCTAAAGTTTGCTGGCAGTGAGCTTGTTTACAACGAAGTACCAGTAAATAACTAATGAATATTCATGACAAGTATTTCCGACGGTTGGCGAGACGTAAGCTGAATCTTTCGGACGAAATCCAATGCTGTTAGCAGACCGTCTGGTCACCTTTCGACCAGTTGCCCAGTTGCATCGCTAGGCACAATCTGCCACTCGATTAAAGCTCAGCCTCGGTGATGTGGTAATGCCTACGACCAGCTTCTTCACTCCCTCCTCCTCCTCAACAAAAAAAACTCCTTTCTCCCCAATGACGAAAGAATGTACTCTCGCCGGGCTCATTGGATAGTGCATAGTTACAATGTTGTGACTGACTGCACAAACCTTTTACACTTCAAGGCCTCATCTATGTGACGGACAATAACGTCTTGGTGTAGACATGATTGACGAACTGCAGAAAAGTATTTCTCTGGTCAATGCAAGAGTGCTGCGGAGCAAAACGGGGTCATCAGCAACAAGGAACAAACTCTCAAAGCTCCATTTGCAACCTAAACGAAGGAAAGAGAATTATAGACACCTCTTGAACTGATTGATACATTGAAGCAAACCAGCAGTATATGCTTAATTTTGTTTGCGACCAAGAAAAAATTAAAGGTTGTTTTGATCTCCTGGATAAAGTGCGAGTACACATAACATGTAGTGTGTGAAGTGGGCAACTGAAAGTGCCTACACGCTTACCCAGCAGTGCCAGCAGCTGCTCCTGCAGTCTTCGTGACAATGCCCTCTCAATCTGGAGCTCCTGCTCCAGGTTCACACCCCTCTGCTTGGCTGTCTTTAGTTTCTCCACGAGTCGGGCGTGGTCCACGAGCGATACACCGGACGTCCCGTCCTCTGTCTTCCTCTTCTTGCTTTCACCCTCGCTGCCCACCGCAGAGGGCGGCGACATTTCAATCTGAAAAGGAAGAAAGGTCCAGGTGTCTTGATATTTAATATAAACTTCCAACACGGGATTGGGACAGACGTAGTTCACAATAAATTGCACACCCCCCCCCCCTTTATCTTTTTAGGAGGTGTAGGTTCCAGCCCTCTACCTGTGATTGCTCTCTCTCCCTGAAAAAATGCTTCCAGGTGCCCATGACCATATATCCGATATTCATTGCCATTTCAGGAAATAAGACCTTGTGTGAAACAGCTTGGTGGTCTAACAGCACTGTGCACACGGCCATCTTGGTAGTGTCAAGTATCTTGAGTTTCGGTTTCTCAGCATTTCCCAGGAATGGACACTCTGTTACTAAGTGCGATTCAAAAACTTGTTGTTGTTTTTTTTTACTTCCGATTATCCAATGTGGACATGGGACTAAGCAGTCATACCTTTCATCTCCGAGGACACTTTAATTCCTTTTTTTCAATGCAAATACGCATGAAGCTAACTGTTTAGCGGTAGACTGCTCCATGCCAATACATGCGACTCAAAGTTAGTACAGTATTTCTTTTTTAGTTGTTACTGGCGAAATGTTTTTTTTTTGAATGCTTTGTGTTTTTTTAAAGGAAACTGTGCTCACGGCAATATTTTTAGGCGTTGCAAAGAGCTCAAAATAGTTTCAGACAGTATCCCTATTGAAAATCGCTCTGAGGGGACTTCAGGAATTCTTTAAAGGGTGTGAAAGGGACTTCAGGAATTCTTGTGATGTTTGAAAGGTGAACCTATATTTCCTGGTGGGTTCGTTGGCCCCGTCAGAGGCTCTCCTGAAATGTCTGAAGTCCCCTTTACAATTCCTTGAAATGTCTGAAACCCTGTCAAGAACTTTTCTAATGGGGTCGGGAAAACCTTCAGGCTTCTTGAGATCTCTGTGGGGACACGGCCTAGGTGGAGAAAATACATGTCGCAGACTTAGAACATAGCTACGTATTGTTCACAAAGGGAAAACAAATAATTATATGGAGAATGTCGATCGTATGTCTGTACGGTCAGTTTTTTATTACTGCTCTTCTATCAAACACAACTGGGCTCCTCGACCCGTCTGTCAGTGGCCGGGTGTTCGGTCGCCAAGGGGGCTACGGGTTCGATCGCCCCATGTGGAGAATTGACAAGGCGCGGGCCGAGTGTTGTTGGCCGAGCGGCGTTTTGAGGAGAACAAGCTTTACTTGTTGCACTAATAATAATAAAAAGGGCAAGCCGAGAGCAGCGCGTTGCCCAAATTCAGGGACGCTGCGCTGGGGAGGTTCCGAGGGCGAAGCGGCAGCGACTCGTGCCGAGAACCGGTTTCCCCGCGGGGGACTGTCCCCAAAAAGGAAAAAAAAGTAAATAAACAAAACTATTTTGCTTTTCACCAAAGTCGGAAGTCCTCTCTTTTTCGCCGTCGCCAAAAACACGAACAGGCAACTCAAATCCCCGCCCCCCCCCCCCCCCCCTTTTACAATGCCTACACACACACACTGCGCTTCTCTCCCCCCGGCAATGGGGAGAGGGTGCAATACCGCCAGTTCCGGACAGCACGCTTCTCCAATGGTCGGCGGGAGAGAGTGGTGTGAGGAAGCCGAAGAAGTCAGGAGGCCGCTATAGCCATTTTCTTTCCGCTCGTGGGCGGTTTGTTTCTCACCGCCATGGAGATCTGGAACGCACCGTTTCCTACATCCAGAAAGGTAAGCGCTGCTTTGAGGGCTCGCCCCTTGGTCTGTTTTAATCCGTGCCGTTTCTTCCTTGGTTCCGCAGGTGAACCCCAGTTCGGCGTTGGCCGCCTTCAGCACCGCTCGAGCACCATCGTGTTCAGCGCATTCAAGGAGATGGTGGCCGGTGTCGGCCTACTCGCAGCAAGCCTGGCAGCCGGGATCAGCGTTCAACCGCATGTAGTGCCTACGCACCGGGATCATGGCACTGTGGGTCCTGAGACGGCGGATGACGGCCGCTGTCCCGCCTTGTTCTTTGCGGCTCTTCGTCCGACCGGCCTCAGAAGAATCCAGCGAGCGAAAAATACGCCGAAGACGCCGCCCCGACGACATCGTGGACGAAACCGTGACTGTGCTCGGAATTTCTCAACGGTGACGGGATCTGCTTGCGAGTTCGTGGTTTTCGCTAAACGTGCTTACTGGGACTGTGTATGTGTACGTGAGGTGCACCTGCTCCGTTTTATTAGCTGAACTACCGTACATCAGGAATTTACCCAACGGCATTGTGAGTCCTTTGAAAAATATTTTTCGTTGTGATAAAGAAGTTAGTTGTTCCTATTTTATATGATCTCTTTCGTCGACAGCTGCTTGCGCCCGGGTTTGAACAAGCGTTGGTTTTTATTGTCTTTTTGAGTGTTAATACGCATGTAAAACTCAATGTCCGCAATAAATTTTCAATAACGTTTTGAACTGAATTTTTGTCAATGGTTCACAGTCATTTGGGCGCCTAAAGGGTTGATGGGCTAAGGGGTTGGGGTTGAAGGGCTGTGGGGCTGGAGGGTTTCTTCTGAGGGGTATATCTGAAGGGTTTTGAAGGCCTGTGCGGTCCCATAATCCTTCAAGGCTGATGGGCCCTTTAGAATTATTTTCAATAGGGATTGACCTCAACACAGTTGATGGATGTTGCGCTATGAATGAAAATTTGTTCAACCCCGGTAGAATAAGTATTGACTTCCTCAAAACTACCCCCCGAGCTCCTTTGCACTAAAATGTTCTACCTCGGCTGCGGCTGAAGTTGGCAACGCCTGCGTTGCTTCGACGTCCACAACGTAATGTATTTAGCCGCCACCTACATCGAAGCTTTAGCCACTGCAATGAATATAAGGCCACATTTGACGTAATCGAACGTGGCGTCCAACAAAAAAGGCAGCAAAATCCCGTCTCTGCGTGTGTTCAGGAAACAGACACGTCGTCAGTGTCTATTGTGTGTTTTATTCTACATGACTGTGCTTTAAATATCCAAGAATATATATCTACAAACTCTCCTCTTTAGTTTTAAAAGTGTTTTACAAACATTGTTTACCGACGCCAGATCAAGTGTCACAATCTCTGCAAGGCAATGAGATTGTTTTCTTGCTTTCCAAAGTAATTATTTTTTTTGAAGTACATGACGTTAATATGAGGGCTCTGTGGTGCTCTCAGGTTTTGTCGTTCACTGTGCACCATACATATCTTCAATTATGGTTGGTGGCATAGATTATTAAAACTGTCACCTTTTTACCTCGCTTAACAGCCTTGGTCTCGTCCGCACGCATCGAACTGCTTGCGCATTAAAGGGGCCCTGCAATCATATTTAAGCGCCTACTTTTTTTGCTGTTTCCACGTCGCTTGGGGCGCGGGCAAGCCAGTGGGCACGGACAGAGTAACTAAATATCAGAGCGTCATATTTTAACCGGACGACGCGGAAACCTCCTTCAGCGACGGGGGCGACCCACGGTACCGAAAGCGCGCAAAATGTGACGTTTTAGGTCCTGGGCTTACTACTGGTCAGAGCCGCTAAAAGCTTCTTTTTAGTCGAAATACTAAATATAGTAAACTTGAGGAAGAAAATGAGAAAGGACGGACAAACACAAACTTCCATTTGTTTGTGTTTGTCCGTCCTTTCTCATTTTCTTCCTCAAGTTTACTATCCATACCAACCCGCTCGTTCTGTCCCTACTAAATATAAGTGGCGCGAACCGTTTCAATTATTTATAAAAGTAGTTTTTGTTCAGTATTTTATATCCGAAAAGAAACGAATGCAGTTTATAAAGTACGGAAACAAGAAATGACCCGTCGACATACCCGCCACCAAGCGGTGGAAAAGGCGGCGCACACTAGAAAAGAGTAGTGGGATCAGGCGCCGACACGGAAATGTCTCGGATGTACGCGGCGGCGCTGCGGTCGTTTACGGGCTCGAGGATCCGACCGGCTCCGAGCGTTCCGAAGGCCTTCGGTGAGAAGCTTTGCCTTGCGGTTTGGCCGTTTCGCGGTGTGGCAGCGCGAAGTGGCTCCCATTTTGAACTGATCTTTACCCCGTGTTTGCTGTCGTTTGTGGCCAATGAAGTGCCATGCCAAATTAGTCTTTAATCGCGCAGCAAAACCATTGAGCGCCTCTCTGGCCGCCCGCTACATACAGCCTATCCAGAACATGTTTTAGTGGCGCCCTCTCGCTCCGTCGACACGGAGTGCGGCAGCCCGTGAGCGCTCGCTAATCTTACTACCCCTCGTCTAGTTCATGGCCACTCAAGCAACCAAGGCAGTCATGAAGGAGGTTATTTTTTTGCTTGTTTTTGTAATTTTAATTTGCCAATAACTTTTAAAATAAAGCGAATTTCGAGAAAAGAAAAGTTTCATTAAGTTACTACGTTCACTGCACTCAGGTCCGGTGCAAATTAAAAACCAGTAAAAAGTCCTTGCAGGGCCGCTTTAAGAAAAACGCAGGCTGTCATTACAACGTTCCGAAAAGAGAAGAATAAAAAAAAGAGAGGAGTTGAGAAACGAATTTGGTACAACTTCGTGAAAAGGTTAGAGCCCATTTCAATAGTAGTAAATGGCTTCATGCTGCGCGATAACGTCCACGTGTTGACACCGATTGTTTCTGTCAAAAATCTCAAATAACAAATTAAAAAAAAAAGTGGACCCTGTTTATGTTTTTGAAGGTTTTTCACTACGGAACGCAGCAACGCGTTGGCATCACATCTCTCGCACGAAGTGCGGTCGCTTGTTTACATGACGTCTTTGCCCGTCGGGTCACCAGTTTCGTTTTCTTGCCGCTAGCAAGATCGCAGACGTAGTTCTTGGTGCTCTACATTTTGCATAAAGTCTATTGCTGTATCGTCCTTTACAAACTCTAGTACCTCTTGCGCTAAGTGAACCAGTTAACAGAAAACCCTGCATAGTGAAACGAAACACTATGACGAAATATTCTGTATAAAGAATACTTCTACATTAGTTAGAAAGCAAATTACGATTATACTACTTTGCACCCAGGGTACTTCCAACCTTAGTTGAAGTACAGTCGCCGGCAAAAGTTTGCGGGGCGCGGGAGCGTCAGCCAAAATGACTGGTTGCGCCTTCAGACGGTGCGGGGCCACTCTCAAGATTCACGCTTCCAAGAAGGTGTTTTTTTTCGTGCTCTAAGTCATGTCTGTTTTGCTCGCTTACGCCTGACGTGCACGAGATAACCGGGACCGGCGCAAGGTGCCACTATGACAGCTATCATGCCCCGCGTCTGCCTCAGCCACCGTGATGGGCGACGGAGCTCGCGCATGCTACAGATAACATATCGCGGCACCTTGCGCCAGTCCCTGCCATCTCGTGAGTGTCGAACGGAAGCAAGCGAAAAAAATCATGACCACGAACAAGAAAGAAAGCGCACGCGCAAATTGCGGGTCTTGAGAGTGGCAATGCGCCGGGAAAAGGCACAGCCAGTCTTTTCGGCTGGTGCTCCCGTGCTTTGCAAACTTTTGCTCCCGACTGTACATAACCTCTCAGTTACTTTGTACTTGCAATCAAGTACTTTGAAATACGATAGCATTTATAAGCAAACCCTATGCACTTTAGGCGTCCACTAGTCGGTGGATTTGAACCTGCTTTTGAAATGAGCATGTACCAGCATAATATAATATCAGAAAAGAAAAACATGCCGCCGGCACTGTGTTTCAAACCCACAACTGTTGGTGTCGAAAGCCGGGCATCGTATCCGTTTTATGAGCACACATGGGTAAGCATTTGCAAGAGAGTTACGAGTGCAGGCAACAGCTGTGTTTATGCACGTGCCAGTGCTTCAACGCCAATGTTACCATAGCAAGGACAATGTGTGTAACATCTAGTCGCAGTCGCACAGCTGAGGAGAGCTGTGTGAACCCAACTTGAGCATCATCTATCGTTGTCAATAAGCGAATGCAGGTCTCGCCAGAGGAACGTCTATGCAAGTGTGCTGAAGCACAGCGACAGCGAAGTGCCTAGGACACTTCGGAAATATGTTTGTTGAAAGCTAGACAGGCAAGTGGTAACAAGATGACCATTGAAGTGGATGAAACGGTCCAAGAGAGGTCATTTTGGCTGCAATGCAAGCAGGACACCGGACAAACGAGGACATCTTGCAATAATGGAGAAGAGATGCAACTTCGAGTACAGCAAGATTGAGACTTACGGCAGGCGAAAACATCTCGTAAAACTGAAGAGGGTCAACTTCAGATACAATGCGATCGAGACACCAAGCAGGAGAGCATGTGTCTTGAAATTGAAAAGGGACAACTTCGGCTACAGCACAATCAAGACCAGGAGTGGCCAAGCTGCGGCTCTTTGTGTGTTTGCGGTCTGCTTTCATAGAGCGTATCTACCCTCCGGATCTGTGTATCAGAATAGCAAGCAATTAAAAGAAAAATGTCTATACAAATAGCCCTGACCAGCCATAATGAATTAACACAATTACTCGTGAAGCAAACAAAATGCAAGATATTCCGGAGCATCACCAAGCAATTTTACCCATAATTACTGCCCACTGGGGCCATATGTTGGGCTTTTCTGTCCCCTTTTCCAGAGGTAATGGAAGTCAAGTCTGCAGCCGATTTGAAAAAGGGGCACAAAATGCCAACATAAGGCCCCTGGTTCTGAACAGAATAGAAGAACGAGGTAATAAAACAGCCTAAGGCGCACATATACCCCGAACTTGGAATTCAGAATCATGGGGATCGCCATGTGCTTCTTCTTAAGGGCTGCTATCTGGTCGTCCCGTGTCTCTGTAAAACAAAACATGCGCATTGAATTAAGTCTCGAAGTCCTTGTGTTTGTCCCCTTTTTTCCACTCTTGTATCCTGGTTTACAAGTATGGCCGTTCACCAGCTAGCCTGCGCTATAACCCTTATTTCAACAAGACTTTTCGTTGATACCTTTACAAATTAAATGCACCACCTAGTCGAACTTACGTGTAACTTTTGTCGTAGCTTACAAAGCCGACGTGTTACGATTTATTCTAAGTGTGTGGCTGCCATCTGGACCACCCTGTAGTTCAATGTAAAAACCCTTTGCTTTCGCCACCCAGTTCTTTGAAAATCGTGCGCAGGGACATATTCGTGCCTACCGAATTTCGCGAATTCTAGACGCCGGAACGGGGGACGCCAGAACGGGGCCCCACGAACTTTTCGCTTTGCACGTGTCCTTAGATTTCGCTTATTTTAAGGACGCGTGAATTCGGCAAACAATTCGGGGCTCGCGAACATTAACGGTTAGCAGTAAACGTTGTGCTTCGAGCCCTTCATGCATAGAAAACTTACCGCAAAGCATCTGGATTTTAGCTTTGTAGTAGCCTTCCCCGGCGCACGCTCCAGTGGCCTTCCAATACACGCTCTTCAGAGCGTCGGGGTCGAAATCCTCCACACTCGCTGGCTTGAATTTCTTAATGCAGTTTACGCTTACGATAGCCTTTGCGCCATCAAGGTAAATCACGTACGCGTAAAACATAGTGACAATGAAATAACCGTGATGTGTCTTTGTCTGCTTTCGTCCTGAACACCGATCGCACTAGTCCAGAGCTGCCAGAGCTGCCAGAGCATCCAAGAACACTGGCCTGCTGGCGTGGGCGGCGTGGGTACGTAAAGGTTGAACTGGATTGAACTCATTCTGCCTTGTTATATATCAGTACTATTATTACTCGAATAATTTTTAAAACATTTAAAATGATAAAAAATTTACCATGTTCAGTTTATTTGTTGTTAAAAAAAAACGTTGTTTGTCCGACGTTGGTGTCTGGTTGCAGCAATGAAAGCCAATCCAATCCGATCTGAAATAAACCGAAACCAAGGTAATTTTTGCCGATATTCGAAGAATATTTGAATGGGCACCTTTCTAGTAGGTATCAAACTGATATCGGTCATATTATGTGAGAAACAAAATTGTACGGGCGGCCGCAGTACAGGGTTTAAAACTATACAGATAAAAAAAAACGAGAAAAAAACTCCCGTTTATCTCGGTTTCGCTTTCCATGGCTTTGGCTCTTTTAGAAAAAAAAAAATCGTATGTGCGTGCTTTTCGTGCTCCAGGCGCTCAAGGTGTGACGAGTGCTAGTTCCTAGTCGGGTGCATTCGAGACCACGACAATGGAATCAGCGCCCAAGAGAAAGCGTAGGAAGAACTATTTGGAAAAGGGTGAGCCGTTCATAATTCCGAGTTCAACGAAATGCCGAAACCAGACCGAGCGCGGTCGTTGCCTGGAAGGAAGCATAGCGCCCGGCGGCGAGGCTTCACCTTCTCCATCTACATCTGGATACGGGCAGCCCACATTGTCCACTTCCGACGACCCTGCCGAAGAACTCGGTGACCAACTCGAAACTGGTGCTTGCTTTGATGAGTCATTGGATGAATCGAGCAACATGGAGACAGAACTTGATCATGGCGATCCCTGCCAGCAGGACATCATCAATGAAGAACATGACGTTCCCGGCAGTGTGTCGCCCCCCGCTTACGATGAAGCACAATGTCTTGCCGACAGCTTTGCGGAATACGGCAATTCCACACTACCTCACTCAACGACAACCAAAGCAGAGGCTGTTGCCCTCATTATGTCCTTCCTGACGTCGGAAAACTTGACTTGGGCAGCGCTGGAGAAACTACTGCGTATGGTAAACGCAATGTTCGGTGTTGGAAGTGACGTGCTTCCGCGCAGCAAGTATCTATTCCGGAAGCTTTGGGCGCCCAAAACTGAAAGTGTGGTAAAGTACCATTACTACTGTAAAAGCTGCAGATCGTTGCTTGATTCAAGCGAGCATCAAACCACCCAAGTCTGTGCCAAGTGTGCAATGGCATGCGATCTTGCAAAGGCCAAAAGCGATGGCTGCTCTTTCATCACAATGAGTTTGCAACATCAAATACAGCAGATAATAAGCGAAACAAATCAAGTGCTTTACAAAAACTTGGTAAAGCTCAGGGAAGAAGCCCAGGCTCCCTCTGATATCATTCGGGACATCACAAGCGGAGCAGCTTACAAGCACCTCCAGCAGACGGGTGTGCTTGAGTGGACTGACCTAACTATCACGTTTAATACGGACGGCAGCCCATTGTACAAGTCTTCAAGATCCTGCGTCTGGCCAATCCAGCTTATTATCAATGAGCTTCCACCAACCGTCCGGTTCGACCACTGTGCCCTGGCAGGACTTTGGTTTGGCTCAACCCACCCGGACATGGGCCTCTTTATGACAAAGTTTGTTGAAAAAGTGACGTCTCTCGACACCGTAACCTGGGAGAGCGACTCCACTGTCATGACTTCCAAGGTCCATGCTCTATGCTACTGTGTGGATGCGCCAGCGCGGGCTGAAGTTCGCAACCACACCCACTTCAATGGGTACTTCGGGTGCCCCTGGTGCTTGGCTAGTGGAGAGCACTTGGGGGGTAAGTCTCTCGCTGTTACATTCTGTACACTGTTTGCTTCTCTTAACTTCCCGTTGGTTGCGCTCATTGCTTTTGGACTGTATTTAAATGTGCCAAGTCAAACTCTGCTGCTCTTGTTTTACACTTTTAGGAAGCCTGCGTTATCGAGGCGCCGTACCAGATGAAGAGAGGACTTTTGAAGGAGTGCTGAGAGACATGAAGCTGGCCCTCCAGAGTGGGGTGTCGGTCAACGGGGTCAAGGGACCTTCTCCTCTCGCCACCCTGCCCAACTTCGACCTGGTGTGGGGTTTCAATGTAGACTACATGCATTGCGTCTTGTTAGGCGTCGCTCGTCAGTTCACGGAGTACTTGCTCAACTCAACTAACTGCCACGAGGACTTCTACATTGGTAAGTTTTGTATCAACATATTTAGTGTGCGAGTTGCGCGCTAAGTGAAAGAACAGTTTGAGCTGAGATACCATACTACTCGGATGCAAATCTCACAATAGTTGTGAATTAGAATTTATTCTCACAAATTTAAGAACGATTGCAGTTTATCAGAAATTATTTTACATGCATGGGTGACACTGCAGCACATAAGATAGATTAAAACTGTAGTAAAATAAATAGGAGATACACATGAAATATATTTATTGTGCATGGTTTGTCTTTGCCACCATATATCCACAAAAGGGAAGTGTTATCATGGCCATTGGTTACATTCCTATTAAATCTGGTGTAGCGGATTGTGCTGTACCCTACATATGCCAGTGTTTTTGAAACATCTATCAAAGGCAGAGACTTTAGTTATAACCGTTTCACGCCAAGGTTTTGAACCTCAGCGTTCGAAAACCTGCTCGCATCCAGCTTGGTGTGTAAGTTCACCTGCCAACTGTGCATTTTTACAGCCAGTATCCACCAAGGACGATGCATGCTTAGCTGCCTCGTCATTATGCGCTTTCTGCACTTTCTTTATCATGCCTGTTGATTGGCGTGCTCCTTTTTTATATATTTCTGCATAGGTAGCCGGCAATGGCCAGGCGGCGCCACGATAGTACTGCATTCAGCGCCACAAGCGGCGCCGCCTTTGTTACTGGGGCGGCCTATCTGCCCGCCGGGCCGTTGCGAGCGGCGGCGACCCCGATTTCAGCAGTCCCCGTGTGCACCTGCGTGCGTCCCTGGTTTTTTCGTGCGGTTTTTTAAGACCATCGGGAGCCTTGATAGGTCCAAGTGTTTAGAGGATATTCCAGAGTCGTCATCTGGACACCAGTTTGAGTTGTCTTCACTACTTGTGGCCGCCCGATCGGTCTGTGCTTCGCTCGTCTCCCAGGAAGTGACACAATAGAACGAGAAGGCAGCGAATAGGTTTATTGTACATTCCGGTTGCCCGTCTTCGAGAGCCGGCAGTCCGGACCCGCCGACCCTAGTTGTCGCCCGTCGGTCAGAACTCACAGTCGGAGCCCGTGTCCAGGCCTGCGGATCGTCCTTCCCACGCCAGTACGGCGTAGGCTAGCTGTTCCGGGCTATCTCAGTCAGTTTCGCTGCGGAACCACTACGGGATCGTCATGGCCCAGGCCGGTATGGCCAGGGCTCGCCGCTTCCGCCAGTCCTGACCGGAACTTCGCTGGTGGAATGCTCCCGGGAATCGCCATGGGCCAGACTAGCCAGAACAGCTCTATCGTTCCTGCCCGGTCCCAGCCTCGTGCAGCACGCTCTTCCTCTTTCCTCGCCGGCTGGCCCCGCTGGCGCCTTGCTCGGCCGTCCTCTCCTCCCGACGGCCACACACACTAGAATAAAATTTGGAACTCAGCATGCTACATAACCATACGCACATCGCAAAGCCTGGTGTAAAAAGGCGACAGGCAACGAAGTGTATACGTGGAAGGATATTTACCCTTCGCACGAAATTTTTCCAAACAAAAAACATTAGCAGCCTGTTTCTGCACGCCGTCACATTTGTTACTAGACTCGGCATTAAATTTGGTTGCTGAAACAAACAAAACTTTGTGCTACGAAAATCCACTCGCAGGTTTGGAAGGTTTTGGTTGCGACCACGCATGCCGAACGGCATTAGCGGTGCCGGAACGGGCCGACAAGCCTTTCGCTTTAAGACCTGATCGCCCGATCCTCGACGTCACAACGAAGCAGCAATCGGCCCGTTTGTTCCTATCGTATTTCCTTATGTGGCTGTTAAAGCGACTTGTAATATAATTTGTAATATGGTATTTTGCCGAGTAGTCTGCAAAACGAGTTCGTCCGACCACTTTCCGAGCCTGCACATATATTTTCGTTCACTTCCCCCCAAAGAATTTCTGTAAAATTCACTTACTTGATGCGTCGCACTGCAGTAATCCACTTCTGTCGCCGTGTCGCTTCCCAAGATCTCGAAGGGAAGCGATGAAGTTTGACGCTTGAGTCACCTTCGCGACTGTGGCCGTGTTTCACGCAGCAGTAGCAGCGTTTATTTTTTGGGGGGAACTCTAAGAGGTAGGCGAGATGTTACAGGAACCCGGTGAGGTCGTAGAGACTTGAAGTTGGGACTTACTTTTCCGAAAAACGGTTCCGAAAAAAGCTCACGCCGACTCGGAATGCAACGTTCACACGTGGTTTATGGATGCGACCGCCCGCTGCACCCGCGACCCGCGCAGGCCTGATCTACCCAGTTTCTTTATTTTGCAGCCGCAAGATGGCGCAACGTGTAGCGCCAAACTGCATTGCAGGTTGCCTATACTCGTGCGCGGAAAATAATGTTGGTACACTTGTGCGTCATATATGTGTTGCTTTGTCGGGGTTGCCACGTGATAAGAGGTGCCAAAGTAGGTTTCATTTCAGTGGAAGTGCAAGCATAGCAGAAGCTACGAGAGCGAGTTCCACGCCTTGGAAGTGCCTGTCAGCTACGCACAAGGGCTTATGCAGTGCAAGAGTCATTCAGGGCGACATGCACACACGTGTAGCTTCTGCCTCACTCGCACTCGTGCTGAAACCGTGGCTGAAACACTTCATAGGTAGACGACTCTGGCTAGGTGTAGGCTTTGGGTGTAGTCAGTAGGGTTGCAAATACACCCACACTTTTGGCAGGGCTTGCTCAAATTTGCTCAGATTGTTGGAGCAAGTAAGTGGAGAGGGGGAAGGTGGGGAGACATAAAGTGCAGGGGGTCAAAACTGGGGTGTTTTACTGAAATAACTCCGCATTTCACCCCACTCGAGTACTAATTTTGGC